CAATCTTGACACGCAATTTTGCTTTGATAGAAGACTTACAATAAATGTACTTTAATATTTGACTGCACTTTGACTGTTGGTGCGGTGGCTGGGCAACCGGCTGCCGTGCAACGTGTCGCGGGTTCGATTCCCGCACGGAACAACACTTTGTGTGATCCACAAATTGTTGTTTCGGGTCTGGATGTCATTGTGTATGTGAACTTGTATGTTTGTAAACGCACCCACGACACAGGAGAAAATCCTAATGTGGGGCAAAGTTTAAAAAAGAAGAAAAAAATATCGGTATTTTTAAAGATTTGTTTGTAAATCTAATTGAAATAAGTAAATAAATATTTGTTATATTGGATGTACTTAAACTAGATATATTAAAGACAGGAAAATTATAAGGAGATAGCAATTTTAGAGATTAATAATATTTGCTTGCATAACTAAAGTCGCTGGCTTATGCTATCATAATTATAATATTAATTTAATCCCAAAATAATGTACGTCACTAAACTCAAAAACGACTAAGCCAATTTTTGATAAAACTTTCTTATAGGTATCATCGAGTGCGATTTAAGACCTTGCTATCCTAAATATTAAGCTTAGCATTAAGACAATGATCCCTGTCCATAATAGGTTTCTATTTAAAGAATTTGAAAATTGATAAAATCTTCATTTATCATTTTATAGCCATTTTTGTTATCCAATGACCACTGTACCGAATAATATGATTATTAGGTCTAAAAGATTAGTTTTATATTCAGTATTAGGTTCTATCTATGGTATCTGTTTTTGAAGACTAAAAAATACAATTGCCATAAGCCTATTTTCATCAATTCTATCAGTTTATCGACTTTTTATCAACACAATAATGTTGAAAGTTCTTTTTTTAAGGGAAGAAAATCAAAGACTTTCTTACTGACTAAAAACCAGCCCGCTCCTACTCCTGCACTTCGAGCCGGAGCTCCGGTAACCCCTTAGGTTCTGCGCGGCTGTGTTGAGGCTAGGCGCTCGTTCTAAAAGGTAGATTCGAATGAATAAGAACGAGAAATACACTCCATTCGTTACTCGTATAATAAAAATATGTTTTACAATCTCTTTAATACATTATTCAATATTGTGTCACAAATGTGAGAGCAATGTAAAGACACGCTTGACGTATAATACAAATTACAAAACCTACTATAATAAAAAAATATATCTTACATGGTGCTAGACTACATATCAGATCTTCAATGAAGTTGGACGAAGTATTATTATGCATTCAAAAAAAATATGCTCTAGCGATATATAATATCCAGCGTATCGTAAAGGATTTAATACCTATAAAATTAGAATTAAATACACCCGGTGCAAATTAAATGAATCATACCCTACTGTCCACCTCCTATAGCGATAAATTGGGCGTAATATTTTTATGATATTATATTACAATAACTGCTGTTTATACATGACTCAAAGTCATAATAACTATAGGCATAAATAAATATTTATATAGGCTTGTAAATTATAACACAGCCTAGCTAATCAGCATAAATCTAGATTAATATGACTGCCTCGTTCACCGAGTGGTCACAAGTGCGACTGCCGAGCAAGGGGTCTCGGGTTCAATCCCGGGCCGGGCAGAGTATTGCTGGGTTTTAAAAAAAATCTCAGTAGTAGCACGGAGTCTGGAACTGTGCCCGGTATATGGCAATAGGCTCACGCCCTATTACATGGGACTCATAACATAAATAGTGAAAAGTGGGTGTTACATTGTACAGTAGCATAATGTGTAAAAGGCGTGATGGTATGGCATGTCTAAATTGTCTACAACTATTGATAAACATTCGATAATCGAGTTAATCGAGCTACATTATGGTACAAATACACCTACAAACAAATAAAAGTAGGTAATCAAAATTCACGCCTAACACTTGCAACGCGCACAGGGGTCAAAACGACCAGTGGTATTAAAATTTTAAATATCCGACACGGCTCCCGTATGATTTAGTTTCATTTATTACTACAAATCTTGATTAACGATGGTGACGTGACGATGCATTTTTGGACTTTATGAATTTTAGTTCCTTTGATATTGGTATTTAATTAACTTGTGTATGAAACTCTTAATGCCGAATTTTCCACCGCCCGATAAATTGTAACTGAAGAATAACTCGATAATTCTTCCATATTCCAAACTGTCAAATTTCAATTTTATTCTACAGTTTACAATAAACTGATAATTGAAAAATCGACACTAAGTCAGTTATTGTATTAGTATTTTTGAAGAGTTTATGATTCGAGTCATAGTTGTTTGCTTACATTGCCAGGTTAGATTTAATGTTAAAATAGAATTTAAGATTATATTAGAATTATTCATCTGAAAATTTTATTTCATGTCTTTAGTTTTGAGTTTGTTTAACATAAGAATGTTGATATCATAAGTAGTTTAAACCCAAAATCGGTTTAGCCAATCGCGAGATATTTACGCACAAACATACATAGGTACGTATAGGTCAAACAGACACCTCCTTCTTTATTGAAGTCAGCTAAAATATCAAATACATCTCTAATAAAAACTGGAAAAGCCATATCTTGTCTACCTATACCTACTGTTGATAGAAGTAAAGATACTATAATAAATTAACAATTATTTATCATTGTTCAACATGAGGATTACCACTGATATATGAAAATATTGATACTTAACTCTGACTCATTTTGAATGACACAACGTGGTCATGAAATTTCTTTAATTTTAAAGGACCTATATAATATTTGGTAATAAGTTTTTCTTGAGAGTAAATCGACTTTGAACTGTAAAGCAATCGAACTTAAAGGTTCAATTTGTAATGTCCCTAGGAAGTCTCTACGTCCTGTGAATTTTATTTCAGAAATAATACCAAGCCATCAACAAAAATGAAACTTGAGTTGTTACTTATTAGGTTTGTTTTGCTATAAACCGATAGTGCTTAAACGACTTTTATAAAATAAATGACATTACATTAAAACCACTGCTATCGACACCGTGGCATGTAGGTACATTATAATAACATAAGTGCATTAGGTACTTAACTTTTTATAACAAAAACCATTTTTCAATAACTAAGCGACATTTCCGCGATCAAGCATTAACATTTTACAAAAAAAAAACATGGTGCTAACAATAAATCGCACTCACACACGCGCAATACATATTTTTAATTTGTTAAAAGCTCTCAGAAAAATAACAATCTGAATGCATCGCCTGCAATTTGCGGCAAGCCTCGCCTTTTATAATTAAAATTGCATTAAGCCTGCAAATAGTCGGACATTAATGACGCTAATGCGCTGTTTGGATAGAAAAAAATGCAGACAGACAGTTTGTAATCCAATTTGCAGCTAAAAATGCCTTAATTCGATTGCAGCTCATAGTGTTCCTGTGTTTGTCTTACGTCTGGCAGGTTGACGTCAAAATAAGGTTAATAAGAGCCTTTTGTGAACATGTTTGGGCACTTTCTTTTATGGTTTTTCGATATTCGACTTTCCTTTTAGTTTCAGTTACAGCATTTTGTCAGTGTTCATAGATCTTACGTATGTATAAGTTACTTACTGCAGTGTAGGGCATGGTTTTTTTATAGCACAACTACAAACCTGCAGTAGATGATGGAACACAGATACTAAACACAGTCTGCTTTTACTTATGATTTGTATCAGAAAGGGATATTAAAAAAAAATACTGTGACTGATCTCAAATACACATTGCGAAAATTATAAATCAAAGCCCGAAATTATATCTCATAATTACGAGCCAACAATAGAACGCCTTTCTTTACATTTATTGGGGTCCCATTGAATATTTGGCACTGCCATAAATTCGAGCATACTGTCGGGGCGTAACAATGAATCTAAATAACCATTAATATGTAATAAATACTATAGGGTGATAAAGCCGTGTCGGTAGGGAACAAACAAACAAGTGTAGGAGCAACCCTTAAACGCTGGGCATTGTTAAAAGAGGCCCGAGCGTGAAATATTCCGAGGGGACGGCCGATGACGAAGTCACTGCCGAATTCTGCCGAAGTTCTCCGATCAGTTCCGCTCCAAATGCCGACAGCTGCTGCGTTTCAGATGGGGGTCGCTCTTCATTAGTGGAGCTTGTCTCGGCTCGAGATGGATGTTTGTTTTTGGACAGCATGAGGTGTTGATGGTTAGTTGATGATGTATGAAGTTTATTCTATGGGACATTGTATCGAATCTTGTTTTAGAGTTTTCTTTTGGACACGTGTAGTTCAATGTCACGTGTTTTTGTTTCAGCCTTGTTCGTGGGAGTTATTAATTTTATTATAATTTACGAGAAAGTTTTTTATAAAACATACATAAGAAAGTCAGTTCTAATTTCAGTAAAATCAGTAATCATTTTGTCACTTTCATTGTTGCAGTTTTGTATTTTAACAAAAGATAAAATAAATGCTCATAACAAAACAACTTCACAAATCCAAACAAGATTAAGAAAGATCAAAAGAAAAACCATTTTAATACAAGAGCCTAAATCCACCATCAACTTTGTAGCAACAAAACTTAAGTACAATTAAATAACTGAATATCTATTCAATACCTAATCCTTAATCAAACATTGAATAATACCAACAAAGCTAAACAAAACTGAACAGCAATAGTTGCGTTTAGTCGCGCCCGCGGATTAGTGAATTGTAAAAAAAGATTGGGGTCCGAAACGACCCGACGTGTTAATTACGGGGGTTGGGCTTCGAGGGTTGAACAGATGAAAGTCAATTTGCTTCAGCGACATGATACGGCCCATTTCGTTCGGAGCGACAAGTGTGGCACCTGCGCAGTGGGGTCTTTATGACCCAAACAATTGTAGGGTTAGATGCATTATTTGCATCAGTTTCAATGATGACCACTTTTGTTCTAAACAATAGCTGAATAATGACAAAGGAATTGTTTCAATACAATAACATTGGTACAATTCTATAACCTTGACTCAAATGCGTTTATTTAATGCATATTAACTGTATTTGTTTTGTCCACAGAAGAAATCAAATTCGGGATCAACCGTTTAGTCAGCGAGAGGACAGAAAGGACAGAAGATGAAGAAGAGGAACATCATAATGAGACACGACCTGAGGGCATATCGCCAGCATCACGCTGCGGAAGTCCCTGTTGGGCGCCATCACCACAATCCCCAAGATCTGTTCGCTCCAGTTCTCCAGAACTGGAAGTGGACTCTCCACCATCTTCCCCAAGAAGACCACCAGACACTTCCCCTCCTCCTAAAAGATCAGAAGCTTTCTCTGTAAGCGCACTTCTACGACCTGATGCTCCAAGAGTGCAGCCTCAAAGACCATTTTTATATCCTCCACTACCTTTTGCGGAGTTTTTGAGAGATGCTGGGAGCCTTGGTCTACCTGGTTGGGGAGGGTATAGCAACCTATATCTTCATGCTGTTCAAGCAGCTGGTCCGGAACTATTGAGACTTCGTGCAGCTGTTCTTGGTGCTCCTGGCCCATTATCCAGGCCTTTGCCATTAGGAGATGTATACTCCTGTGTCAAATGCGAGAAGATGTTCAGCACTCCTCATGGTTTAGAAGTGCATGCCAGACGATCTCATAATGGCAAGCGGCCCTTTGCTTGTGAACTCTGCAGCAAGACATTCGGACACGAAATCAGTTTGAGTCAGCACAGGTGAGTTTCTAAAATGTATGTTTGGAATAAGATATTAATTTTGTAGAGAAAATACTATGTAAAGTCTGCCTACCACAAATATCATTTCTCCCTCTTTAACAGGGCTGTCCACAGCGTTGAGAAAGTCTTCGAATGCAAACAATGCGGGAAGACCTTCAAACGATCAAGCACGCTGTCTACCCATCTCCTAATTCACTCTGACACCAGACCCTATCCATGTCAGTACTGCGGAAAGCGTTTCCACCAAAAATCGGATATGAAAAAGCACACCTACATCCATACTGGTAAGTACAAAAAACATTTCATTATTCTAAAAATACCAACACCAATTTAATATGGAACCAAAAAATATAGACCCATTTATAAAAGCATCTAAAATTGGCAAGGTCACAAAGCTGACACGTCTTTTAGTCCTTTCACTAGAGACAAAGGACCAAAAATCCTTTAGCCACAACCGTTTCAGTTCGTGCTTTTAATATTTAATTTGGGCCCGAAACACTATTGTTAACACACAATCAAGCCTGGTGCAAAAGTGAGAACGGTCAAATGAAATCGTAATGGCACTTAGGTACCGCAAAGTCCCACCGAATCTTATCCGCGGACTAAGTGAGATACCAACACAACATATAGACCGCAGCATCTTACATTTATGAAGAGGGTTGAATACAGGGGCGAGAAGTTTGGCGCACAAATCGATAAAGTGAAAACTGAACTCGTATGCTCTAGATTTGGATATTGCACGTGGATTTGTGTGTAGATTTTAGAATGAGTCTGCTCGTTATTTAGTGCTGTCTTGTTTATTTTATTTTTTTTGTTGAAAGTTCTTTAACTATTGTGTCTTATGATTGATGACCATACAATACTCAAGAAGATTATATTGTAGCGTAACTTAAACGATTACCTGCCACGTGTTTTAAAGACAATTTTAATAATAATTATTATTCATGACGTCAAATCCATTTATTCCTGAGACATATAAAATTAAAAACAATACTTCCACGACACAATTCAGTTAATTGACACGACACTTATTTAAAACAAAGGCTTTCCATACCAATCATCGTCACTAAAGTTAATGTGTCTAAGATTGGAACAGTATCAAAATTCTCGCTACCAAAATAGCTCCTTGAATCCGCGCCCCATCCCTCCAGTCCCTATGTAGCTGTAACCCAATCGCTTCATAATGTAACCGCGACATTATGCGATTATTATAAAACAACAGAAACTCGTCTTACATTAATTATGTGGAGGGTTGTTTAAGATGTTTTGACAGCGTAACTCCCTGAATTATGTTGGATAAGTAAATGGACTTGGGAAACGTCGTGGTGAATTATTGTCTTGTAATTTTCGGTTTAAGTTTGTAATCTTCAGACTGTTGAGACATTTGAAACATGACGGGTAACTTTTGGAAATATTAAGGTATTTGTGGATGGAACTGAATTATTAATATCGCGTTTCAATTTATTGAGTGTCAACGCGTGGAACAATAAATAAACATCAATAAGTTGAGTACATCGCTGGTTATCGGAAACGATGAACACTTTGCCCTCATTGTCCACCACAACAGCTGATCTATTATAAAGCAATTTGTCTAACAGCGGGGTTCACTCAGCACAGAGCAATTCATGCTCTTTAATCTAATATCAGTACTGTGTTTATTGCCCCATGTCTTTATAAGTGAACTGGATATAATTTTTCGTCGTTGCTATTATATTTCATTGCATTATCTGTATCACTTCCTTGGGCTTTAGCGTCAGATTCTAAAGCTTGCTTATCTATTCGTACTATACCTGTTTACTTCAAATAAACTACACATACTAACACTCCCATACTCTCTATATAGTGAAAAACTTCCCTTGTAGTTAAAAAGACGTTCCTTCCTGTAACAGTACCTACAACTCTCCCCAGTTCATTTAAGATAAGGGTGGGGGCGATATTCCGTGATTCAGACGCATAGATTCGCCGTTTTCATTGCTTTGACAGTGAGTGCGAGTGAAACAGCATTACATTTTACAATACGTGCGAAAAGGATGTAACAGAAGGGTTGGGTTAGTTATTGGGCACATGTTTCTGCTATAGGGTGGTCTGGAGATAGTGATGAATAAATTTTCATGTGAAATTTTCTGAAAGAAATTTTAAATTGCATCGTGTTTTCATTGCAAGATGAAGATTCAAACATTTGGAAACCAGTGAAGTTTAAGTATTATAGTTACTTTACTAAATTAAACGAGAATTATCTTTACTATATCCAGAACAATATCAAAGACCGTTTCTCAAATATACAATACACCAACCTTCTCCATTACAGTACCAATGTCTCGAAATCCTTCGTCGAAAAATTCCACGTACCTCCATTTACATCGGTACAAGTACAATCCCTCCTCTATCCGCAACGTTACTAGTCTCAGCAGCAAATAAATTAAACCACGCATCACACCTGATCTCACCCTAAACCTACCCCCGACGAGTAAATTATTAACGATATCAACTTAGCAAATAGTTGGATGAACGGTATTTTAATCAGCGTCCCAACTTCTTGATTAATGTGCCCCAACAACAATTTATCGTTGAAATTTTATTTATAATTACGCCAGCTAAATTAAACGGGTGATTAGTCAACGTCGAGGACTGGTTCGCGATTTGTCACCTCCAGTACTGAATTTGAGTGTAATTGGGCCCCTGAAGTTTGTCTTTACCTGCAGTTAGCTCCAATTTTGGAGTTTCTAGTTTCGTAGTTGGGACTATTAATTGGGAAGTTAAATTATTCATGGAGTTCTACGGTACTTTAGTTTAGGATCCCGTTATTTATGTATTGTACAGGAATTTATGTTTATTTTTATTTTTTTATTTCAACTTTATACAACAAGTGTGTACAGGTGGACTTAATGCCTTGGGCATTGTCTCCCAGTCAACCTTTAAGCAGTGCAGAGATGAAAGTAGCAGGTGATTTAAACCTTTATAAATAGGCAATGTACCAGTGTAATAAATAACAAATCTCACAATCAGAATATTCAATAAACACTAAACATATAGGTATATTTGAAAACTTATACATACTTACATATAACAATAATTATGTATACAATATTAAAGTAAATATATAAATAAAAAATAATGAAGATATATATAGAAATATATATGTACATTATAAAATATAATACAAAATATTAAATTAAAAGAGGTTTAGGTTTGAGATGAATCTACCAATTGTTGAAGAAGATGCTCCCGAACTTTAATCTTAAAAGCTAAGCGACTGGACGCCGTCCTGATATCCGTGGGTAGTGCATTCCACAGAATAACAGATTGTATGAAGAAAGAAGAATGAAGGAAATCAGTGCGATGACTGACACACTGTAGATGGCGATTGTTGGAAGAACGAAGATATTTACTGTGGTTTGCACTGGTGTATTGAAAATAGGTGGATAGATAGTTAGGAGAAAAAGGGGATTCAAGAAGAGAGAATAAAGTAGTTAAAGCCCTTTGCTCCCTACGTTGGCGTATGGGTAACCACTTTAATTGCAAGCGCTGTGCAGAAACATGATCATATTTACGAAGATTGAACACGAATCGAATGCAGTTATTCAGAAGTCTGTCTAGTTTGTTGAGGAGATCTGCATTCAGGTCGTAATAACAGACATCACCATAATCAATAATAGGGAAAATTAACGACTGGACAAGCGTTGCCTTCACGAAGGATGGAAGAAAGTTTTTGAGGCGATACAGAGCCCGCAACGACCCAGTAACCCTCTTACAGACACTGGTAACCTGCGGGCGCCAGCTCAAGGTATTATCAATGTGAAGGCCAAGATTCTTGACGTCGCTGGTGCATGGGATGACCGCACCGTCAAACAGAACAGGGGGAAGGGTGCTAGCATCTATTCTACTGAGGATGCGCGAGCTCGCAATTACTATGGCCTGGCACTTGCTCGGGTTTACAGCTACCCCAAACCTATCACCCCAGTCTTTAATAGAAGCCAGGTCAATGTTTAGCCTTTTGATAGCTTCCGGTAAGTTCTCCCTACTAGCCTGACAGTACAACTGCAAGTCATCAGCGTACAGATGATACGCACATTGAAGTTCAGTAGTAATGAGATTGATGAAGATAGAAAATAAGAGAGGTGATAGTATACCGCCTTGAGGGACGCCAGTTTCCAAATGGCACCATTCTGATGACGAATCACCAACTTGGACCATCTGTCGCCGCCCCCGAAGATAAGATGAGAACCAATGTAGAGTATCATCGGAAACCATAAGATGGGATAGGATGGCTAGAAGGATGTCGTGACTGACCATGTTAAAGGCATTTGAGAAGTCGACCAATACCAGTACGGTGACTTTACTGTCTTCCAGACCTGCCCTCACATCGCCAGTCACTTTAAGGAGGGCCGTTGTGGTACTGTGCCCTGGCCTGAAGCCAGATTGGAAGGGACTAAGTAAGGAGTTGCGGAATACAAAATGTGAGAGTTGCCTGTGTACACAAGCCTCAAGCACTTTAGATAAGAAAGGGAGGATTGAAATAGGACGGAAGTGAGTGGGAAGAGTAGGATTCGAGATTTTAGGCAGTGGCCGGACAAATGCTCTGCGCCACAAGGAAGGAAAAGAACTAGAGTAGAGTGAAAAGTTGATGATGTGAGTTAAGGCTGGGATGAGGTGATCCAAAACTGTTATGATCATGTATCGGGAAATATTATCACAACCAACAGCCTTGGACTTGATGGACAGGATAATCTTTCTGGTTTCCTCCGAGTCTACAGGGTCGAAACGGAAAGGATTTATAGCAGGACGCATCAGACCAGCAATTGATGATGCAGTACTCTCTTTAGTTAGACAATCCAAGGGCGAAGAGGTGGAGAAATGATTGTTTAGATCATCCAGACTAATAGAGGTCGGGAGGTCTGAATATTGCGTTCTACCAATACCTAGAGATTTTAGAAATTTCCAGATATTGGCAGGAGAAGATAGAGAGATGTTATCAAGAATATGTCGGCGTTTAGCGTTGCGTACCATCTGGTTGCATCGATTCCTTGCAAATTTAAAAGCTAACCAGTTTTCCTCAGTGCGGTCCCTTTTATGTTTCCTGAAGGCTCGGTCCCTGCGACGCATCGCCATCTGAATGCCTCTGGTCATCCATGGCGCGGGTGGTCGCTTAATCTTCACTTTTCGGACTGGAGCGTGCCGATCATACAGCTTGGTGATGATTTTATTAAAGATGTCAACCTTGTCATCAACCGTGGTGGCACTCATCAGCGGCTCCCAATCAATATTTGAAGCCTCTTCCCGAAGC